AGGTGCGGGAGGCTGCGAGCTGCATACTCTCTTAGGTAAAGTGTAGTGGTTCTCGGTGACTGGCACCACTACAGGGGACCCCTCGGTAGATCCTAATAATTACATTTATATTTTACCATAAAATATGGAAACGAGAGCACTGGGGCGTGTTTGTTTTAGCACCCTCAGCAACCCTTCCATGGTGATTTAAAGGAATATTATAGCCGAAGCAAGCTTACCTTGAAAATCAAGGATCTGGACACAAAATGAGTGGCTCAACCACGAAAATATTGATCGAGGGCATCTCCCAGGCCGTCCAAATGCACTTTAAGCTATAATACAAGGTTAAATTAGGCAGGACGCCTTAGATTAACTTGGAAAACCAAACTTACCGGCGATGGTCTCAAATGAGGTTATGGAGTTTTCTCGAAAACACAAGGAAAAACATTTTCACTAGCACTAGGCCAGTATGAGCGTTTTAACTTTACTCATTTGAAGGTAAAAGTCGAGGTAACTTGTGAAAATTTGACTTTCTGAAGGCACGAGGGACAAAATTATTATTTACGGACCAGTACAACTGTACCGTTCGATCGCCTTCAGAAAAGTGCCCTGCAGAACGACAGGAAGGAATGACATGACATTAAAAATAATCCTGAGAAGTTAGCTACGGTCTACGGAGCATGGATTTAGCAACATACCAAACCTAAGGGCCTGTATACAACATTAACTAACTTAAAATTATTTAAATCTTATTACTAAACCTCAAAGATAGCCTTAAGCTGTAACATTCAAAATATTGCCCCTCAATAATCTTACAAAATGACAATAATAATAATAATGCATAGTTAAGAATTATCAGCTGAAAACAAGTAGCAAAATCAAGGTTACAACAGTTAAGCTACGTCATGAACAGTTCCGTACAACCTGCTGTTCCAAGACATTTTTAAATAAAATTTACAACCAAATACCAAGTAGCTTCAAACGCTACATTGTCACTAGTGATAGAATATCCCATAGCTAGTGTTAATCTCAATTTATAAACTCGCCGTCGGGATTCCGTTTGCGTCTGCGATTGCGTCGGCCTCGCCGTTAACCGTAGTCCCTATGCTGACGGCGAACTGTGAGGCCGACGGCGAATATAAACGATCTTAAGGGATTTCTATATTCAATTGGTAACGCAAACGCAAACAGAATCTCGACGGCGAGTTTATAAATTGGGCTTTAACTTTCGTCACTAGTGAGGAAAGTAAATAATTACAATTTGACATGCTAAATACATTTTTTTAAATCTAATTATAATTCAATTCTGTATAAAACACAATAAAAAAAAACATAGTTCATCAAAAAATTATGTAAATTTTGCTTTAGGTATACAGTGAGGACATAAAGTCCGTAGTTTGAATCGCTCGGTATATTGCAACGAAATTGATGGCAGCTGGGCGCATTTTTGAACCTTTTTTGTTTAAATAGAAGGCGGTGTCGAGTGATAGCGTTTTAAAGGTCTCTTTATTCTTAGTTTAATCCCCGATTTTGAAAATATTTGGTTTAGCGGTTTTCAAATGATGACGAAAAAACATGGGGCTGTTTTGGTCATAAACACTCATAAAAAAAAATTGTGAGTGAGTGTTTATGACCATATTTTTTATCGGTCTTTTTTTCATTATTGCTTTTTTTTTCAGTAATGAATAATGACGTAATGACATTGGTAACTTAAAAAAAAAACAAAAGTACTCATGAAGTAATGATTCAATCACTAAAAAAAGCCCAAAACAAACCTTTGCTTTTTCGTCATCATTTGAAAACCGCTAAACCAAATGTCTTCAGAATTGGGGATTAAATTAAGAATAAATGAGACCTTTAAAACGATATGTCATTCGACACCGCCTTCTATTTAAAAAAACGATTCAAAACTGCGCCCAGCTGTCATTTTGACAGCTGAAGCTATCATTTGTTTTTCAAAAAATGGAGAATTTGCTCACATATCATCATTCCAAATTTCGTTGCAATACACCAAGCGGTTCAAAAGTTAGAGGGGGGGCGACGGACTTTATGTCCTCACTGTATAATGCAATACAAGCAAAATATAGGCATAGAATTATCGCAAAAACGAGAACATGATTGATAGATGGCGTTGTGATTCACGTTTTCATCCGCCATCGATTGAACCAAGTAAAAACTAGAAACCCTTGTGAAAAAAACTTTTACTTGAACTGTATAGCAAAACATGGTCATAGAAAAAGTATAGTGTTTTACTCGTGAAAAATCATTTTTTCTATTTTGGTGTCATATCGAATTCTTTTCGACACTAAAAGTAGTTTCGAAAAGAAGCTTTTTGTGACACTCCTTTTTTACTTATCGGAGGTTGGTTACACTGGCTGACTGATGGCCATCGAACTGTCATTCGCGATTTTATAATAGAAGATTTCTATATTTGGCATGCAGTGTTACCAACCTAAACATATGAAATCAGGAGCCGGATTCTATTTTACGAGTCGAGTCGAAATTCGTATCGAATTGTCAAAATAGCGATTCTATTTTTCGATTTTTCGTCCTTTAGAAAACTCGCCTCCGGCTCGTTTTCTAATATAGGGCTCGTGCGATAAAAAAGTCTTATGAAACTTGTATTTTAATGTACTATTCTCGTTGCAAAAAAATGCTGTTTTCATCACTCGTTAAACAATATACTTTTTTCGAAAATCAAAAATGATGCACATTTTGAAACATAACTCGCCCTATCTTCTATCTATTTATGGAACAATTAATTGACAATTGTGCTGATTTTTTTCAGCTTTGGAGAACAACCCCTCAGGGCTCAGGAACTTCAGCGAAAGGTAAATCTATCAACAAATTTCGTTAATTTTATCATTTCTCATCTTAAAACAATATATTTTTGGCGCCGTGTCAATTTTACGCATCGAAATTTCCAGTATGCGAGGGACTAGGTGTATGTACAAATTTAATTTTGGTAAAGTTTGAGGTTCCTAGGATGTATGTGACCAGATTAATGAACGTTTGAGAGTAAAGTTATTATTTCTATAGCCACAAACCACTGACCTCCCACAAACAAGTATCGAGTTTTTATGTCTTTATTATCAATAAAGTTGGCTGATTATATCTACTATTATTACTTATTATTGATAAATTTTTTAATGATAATCGGCGAAATAAAATAACTAGAAACACTGTTTCAACCAAATTTATTCATCATCATTTTATTAGGAGTTATAATTAAATTGCACTAAACATTAGGTGAATCTTGTTTCGGACAAACAACTTACATGGTACATGGTACTCCATCTTGCTTAACAGATAAATGAATTACATTTTTCTAATTGAGTTAATTCAGCAGTCAGGTTTGGGTTCTCTATAGACATCGGACCAATTACGTTTTTCTTTAATAAACCATCCAAATTCAAAAATGATTGGAACGTTTGTGCTTACTCTGTTGGCTGTTTTAAATAATGAGCAGAAAAAACCGCGCGGTCCGTAAGATATGTAAGTATCTGTCGGGTTTCTTTCCTATCTTACACTTTGATTACACTATAGGAATGCTCTTTTCATGTGGAAATTGAAAGCATTCTCAGTGGACGATCAAATTTTTTATTTATTTCTCCTAATATGTATCTTGCAATTAGAAAACAAATGAGCTCTTAATTCATTTATATTTCATGTGAAATTTGGACGCCCATATATTGCTTCGAAAAATTGCAAGTATTTAACCAGATTATCCTGGATCACATTCGTCATTTCCGTTACTGCCGGCAAATGAACTCAAAGCAGTAATATCTATTTTGTCTGATGTAGCAAATCGAATTTTCAAATTAGGGTTGTCATATCAGATTCAAAATAAATTTGTTCAAAATAAATTTGTTTAAAATAAGTAGCTTCTACCTAACCTCCAACCTCCAACGCGAGCTTACAAGGTGGCTGGATGCGTTTTTGCCTTTTCCACACTTGTTGGAGCGATACAGAAATGATAACTTTATTTATAAAAATTCATTACTCTGGACACATACATCCTAGGAACCTGAAACTTCACCAAAATTAAATCTGGCCTTTGTACATCGTAAAGTCTCGATTATGTGTGGATAGATTTTCAAAAAAACACCTAGTCCGTCGCATCCTGGAAATTTCAATACGTGAAATTGAAACGGTGCCATTAATAAATTGTTTTGATAAGAGATGATAATAATAACGAAATTTGTTGACAGATTTACCTTCGTGAGGGATTGTCCCACCCAGTTGAAAGAAAAATCAGCACAAATGCCTCATAAAGGAGATAAGGCGAGCTATGTTTCAAAATGTGCATCATTACCTACTTATTTTCAAAAAGCCCACTTTTTTATTTTTGGGCAATTTCGCACCTGCGCAATCAACAAATTTGGATTCAGCAGATCATTTTACGTAAATTTGAATTTTCACCAGAATATATTTGTGAAAGTCTTTGAAGCTTCCTAAAGAGGGACGTTTCCTATTAATATTAGGCGTTCGGGTTTGGGAAAAGGACGGTTCTAAAACGGTTTGAAGCAATCGCACAGTTTATTATTGATATTTGTGATAGCCGAGCCGTTGTCATTTTGTTGATTGATAAACTGTGCGATCAAACCATTTTAGAACCGTCCTTTTTCCAAACCCGATTAGGACCATAATTCGCTATGAACTTAATGGGCAGTGGACGTCGTTCGCATGCGTAAAACTCAACCGCTCGTTTCCGTTTCGACGCTGTGTTTTCTACTTCACAATGGGTTTTTTAAATGAAACCATATTTGGGTTACTTCGAAGAAACGACAGTGTGAAGTTTATTTAATATCAGATTATCAGTTTCACCATGCAGCTATCAAAATGACTCAAGTTTATTACACATTTTTGCGCGTTAATAAGTTTTCGTTTGAAAAATACTCACTCCCAAATAGAGTTTGAGCCTTGTGTAAAATTTATGGGGGTAAAGCCAGCATCCAAGAATTTTCCTTTTTCTGTTTATCACTTCCCTTTTGGGCGACGTCTGCGCAATGGTTACGCAATGGGTTCAACGCCGAGCTAACATCCCGACGCCTTTTAGTCAGTTTCGCGACGGACGCGGTATGTGAATATCACAAACACATTTGAATACGATCTTGAGCCGTGTTGTTTTTTTTAGTGGTTTTTTTTTTTAATGATAACAATACACTTTATGTTATTGCAGCCCTGAGAAGGTAAATAATTATGACCCACTTAAAAAAAAAAATCCCACATGACGGTCTTTTTAAATTTGACTTCTTTCTCCTCTCTTATTTATAGAACCAATTTTGTTTGTAGGGCCACAGAATTTGTGGCAGATGCTCCAATTATTTTAAGTAATGAGAGCACCCCTTTTGATTCATGTCAAACTTAAAAAAAAAAATTCGTTTTCCGATCTCCAAGCTCGAGGATGAGCCAGATTGTTTCGCCTATTAATAGATAAATACCTACTGGTGGTCTATCTATAATGAAAATCATCCTCTCTACATTGTTCTAGCAAGATTTTTTCTTATTGTCTCACTTTATTTCTGCCATCTTGGCAAATATAATGAAATAAACAAAAGGTTTTTTTTCGAGAAATTTTTCAAGTATATTTTAACAACAGGTTAAGTACCTACTATAATAAAACCAAGTTTTGATCGGTACCCAAAATAAAATGATTCGAGGCAATTCAGATAATACATACATAAAATATTTTTATGTGGCTATAAAATTTTCTAACTACATAGTGTGAAAACTAGGAAAGATACTTTAAATTTAGGTAGGTATTCTGAATTCTGCTTGAAGCATAACCTAATAAAAAAAATCATGAAACCTCTAATAAAAACATCACAGAAAAAAGGATAATTAATAATTATTACAGTTAATTTCTCTATGAAGCTACTAATTTCGTGTTTTTGTTTCTATGTTCGATAAATCAAAGCTCTGAGCTCTGCTCCAGACTTTAGATCGGCAATTCTTTCATTTAGGCCTGATAAAATATTAACTGAAAATTGAATAGGTATCTGAACATAAAGTCTTTTTGGAAAAAGTTGATATGAATCACACGAATCTACACCATAAGATACTAGAATATAGGCATAAATAGAATAATCAAACCCTTCTAAAAAATTGTTTTGCACTTCTGAGTCAAATTGGAATAAATATAAGAAACCCATTATCATGCTTAGGATTATTCCAAAATAAAATTTTACAATAAGGGTGTTTTTTTTTTATGTCAATAATTATTGTCAAATTTTATATAGAAAACAACTGAAAATTCCGTGGGTAAGGATGTTATAGTTTTTGGAGTTTTTAGCTATGAATACCAGACAACGCAGAATAGTGAAATGGGAAGGTGCTGAAAAGGTCTACTATGTGAAAAAATTGAAGTTTTTATCTACAGGTGTAGGTATTGTTATTTATGAAAAAAAAATTACTATTTGTTTTTTCTGGTTTCCTTTTCTATGGTTTATCCCAAAACAATTTCAAAAAGCCGCCGCCTAATCTTTTCGGGCGTTCTGGTTGTGGGTACTTAAGTTGTGATACAAAGTTCTAGATGAGTTAAAATTTATGTTAACCTATAATACTAACAATCTATTTTTAAACCTAACTGATGTGAAAATGTACGATGTTCCGCACGCCTCGCAGGTCTTCAAAATTAGTAGTCTATTCCTGTTTTTTTTCTGGCACATGAACCTGGGAGCATCCAAAATGTGTAGTTTTAGTGTCGATCAATGAGCTGTTACTTATTACCTAATAAAAGTGCACTTTCTGTAGTGACATTAATTTTTTAATGCGAAACTATAATAGTTAATCATGCGAATGAAAATAAGAATGTCTAAAATGTTTTATGGAAAATATTTGGGTTAAAAACTTTTTTTTTCTGGATACGTATGTAATTATCAATGCACCGTATATATTGAACCTGATTTAAATTATCAGGAGGTCTGCGAACTCGGGGTAGTTCAGCAAGCGCGCGTCCGTGAATAGTATCTAAACCGTTGAACTTATGGGAAAAAAAAAATTTGATATTAATTTAATCTCCGTCATATTCCAAAATTATTTGCAATCAGCTATAAATTCTGTATTCAACTAATAATTCATAATATGTGGGTTGAAGCAGCATTGCCAAGTTATGATTAAAAAATGAGTCCAAAACATAGGTACCTACTTACCTACTTTTATTCAATTCACCATATTATTAGGTTAGAAAAAATCGGGCGCCAGATTTGAAATGGGTTCTTGAACACATTTCAACAAATTTGACAGCAATGTATTTCTTATGGGGGATTCAAAAGAGTGATTTTCAGACGGAAATATCTCGTCTTCTGGGCATTTCTTAGTATTTGAACCCATTATACGTCAAATTTTGAACATATTTTTTTTCTACAATTCATGCTCCAATTGTTTTTCAGACCTATGAGTTGAAAATACAAATGATTATAATTGAAAGTGTTTGTTTTCCGTAGACGTACGTCGGGTCTAAAACTAGCTGTAAGAAAGTGAGGTTGTGTGTTGTGTTATGATTGTCGATGAGTTGTTTTTTTATTTATTTATCACTACTTTAGTAATTGTTTATCGATTTTTTTAGATTATTGAAGTACATCTACTAACCAAGTAGGTATGTAGGTACGCTTTTATTTCATTATAATTATAGGTAGCTATACATATTTATCGATCAAGCAACGACACACGTATTTTATACAAACATTGCCCTCCTAAATTGGTAATATTTTTATTTTAACAATGTTTATTCAATTTTCGAACACTCTCTCAGTAAATTAACATATTAAAAAAACTATGTATACGTGTACTTACTTCCCTAACAAACTTTATATCACGTCTACAGACGCTTTTAAAATTGAGTCCCCATAAGACAATACATTAATTTTTGAACTAGGAACCCGCGCCAATTTAAGATTCTAACCTAACTAATATGGTGAATTGTCATATCTCCGCCAATCTTCGTTAATTTCCGTGACAAATTTACATATGTGATCTGTACTTCGAGAATGAAGTTTGATACGGAGTGTTCAAACTATTTGTTTGAACATGTCGCTTTCAAATTCGAATTTGATTGCATATACAAAACCTCGCATATTATTTTTAGGTATTAAGATTTTTCCTCAATTTTGCACAAAAAATAAGGAAAATTGAAGGCTGAAGAAATCACGGAAATAAATGCTGCTATAAGTTCGAATTTGAGTTGTATTAATTTTTCATGTAATTCTATGATATTTGGTTAGAACTTGTGCATGTGCTAAAATTTAATTATATGAACCAAGAATCAATTTGAACAATCATTGTCTTCTGACATCCTCAATTTACGGCGAGAGCGAGAGGTTTCCTGAAAGAAAGCATCCAGATGCCGGATCATTTCAAAGATTGATGGATCGATTTTACAGGACTGGGGCAGTTAAATACTTGAAGCATACCAGAATGAAGCCAGTGGTCATCGGAAAAAATCAATTTCACATTCACATTCTCGTTTCTGTTACATACAAGTGAATCAAGCGAATGAAGGATAAGATTTTAAAAATACGGCAAATTTCTTAACGATCAAGGCTACTCCACCCTAGGCTACGTGGATGACATGGTCGTGGTCATTAGGATTTACCAGGACGGTATCAAAACTCATGCAGGACGCCTCCAGGAATCATTGAGGAATATAATGGTGCACGAGGGAGCAACTTCGCGTCAACCTCTCAAAATCAAATCTCATTCCGTTCACGAGAAAAATAAATCTGGAGGACTTAATACCCCCAGTCTATTCGAGAAAACCTGGGAGTTTGACAGGGAAGGTAAATTTCTGGACATCCTCTTAGATATGTAGCTGACATAGAACCAACACATTTAAAAGATAACCACCAAAAGCAAGATGACGTTGATGTCACTAAAAATGAAAACATGGGGACTGAAACCGTCAGTTGTACACTTGGACAAACATAAAACTGGTACAGGCAAAATATATATTTTAAATTTGCCTAGTGTGAGTCAGGCTTAACAGCAAAAAGTCTCTTCTGAAAGACATAGGCTAGATAGTTTTTGTCAATGTCAAAGCTGAACAAAAGTAAATGCAACATGTTTTTATGGTATGATTGGTTTAAATATGACACTGACTTGACTCTTTTTGTCATTGTTGAAGTGATAAAAAAGGTCGATTTACACAATACAACACAATAGGAAAATGCGTACCAGTTTTATGTTTGGCCAAGTGTACACTGGATATACACTACGATTGTAAGACCAATGATAACATATGCTGCACTGGTATGGCAGCCTAAAGTAAACCAAAGCGGAGGCTAGAATCGAGGAATATCGTCTCCATCAGCTGAACGAAAACTGGAACCCAAAACCAAATGGACAAACCCGATTTTGACCATGGGGAGCGATTATATGATGCCAAAAAAATCTCGCGAAACACCCTTCGCAATCGAGGAGATTGTTCCAGTAGGAAATACCGGGGTAACACCTAAACAAGAAATTGTCTGGTTTGACGGCTCTAAAACAGGACCTAGATTAGCTGGAACCGGCGCTGGAATATATGGATAAACTCCCAGATGCGACATCAGTCAACCTCTGGGAGCATACACCACTGTTTACCAAGCAGAAATCTATGCCATTGACTCCTGTCTGAAAGAAAATTTAAGGAGGGGATACCCAGGTAGAAACATCCTTATCTGCTCAGAGAGTCAAGCGTTGATTAAAGCACCCAGCACTTGCGAAATACAGACCAAACTTGTCTAGGAATGCTTGGAAAACTTCAAAAAAGTATGGTCAACAGGATAACCCTTAAATGGGTGTCAGACCATAAAGAAAATGAAGGAAATGAAAAAGCAGATGCTCTGGTACGAGAAGGATCAGCAACCAGTTGTACTGGTCCTGAACCGGCAACTGGCACCACTAAATCTTCGGTAAGAGCAAAAATAAACCAATGGATGCATAGAACAACACTAAACTCACTCGCAAACTCTTTCGAAGCTCAGATACAGTAAATTGATGCTACAACAACCATCACCTAAATTTACTGAAGATATCCTACAACTACAGGAATCAAATCAAGCTAATAACTGGACTCATAACCGGACACTGTAGCCTGAGAAAATACTTTCACACAATGAGCATCCTCCAAAAAGAACCCATGTGCAGCCTTTGTGACGATGAGGACGCAACCGTCACCTACATAGTCTTCGAATGTGAGGCTTTACACGGG